TTCTTCACTGCTCTTCTTTTTCTTCGAATCTTCCTTCTCTGTCTTCGTCTTTTTCGACTTTCTCTGCTTCAAATCCTGCCTCTCTGTCTTCCGACTCCTTTTCTCTTCCCTTTTTCTTTTATTTGGCTCTTCATAGACTCTATGTCAGTCGTCATTCTTCTTATTATTTTGTCTTGCTTCCTTACGCGATCTTCGAGAACCTGTGGATCCATCTTCCGCCTTTGTCTATCAGGGCTTTGAGAGTGGTGTGGGCTTGAGTCCTATCTTTCTCTTGCTTCTCTCTGCGGATTCCTTCGCTGGGGATCTGATTCCGTCATGGGTGGGATAGAAGGTAAAACTTCGCGCCTCCCACCCCCTTCCGGTGTTTGTCCATCAATAGCAGATTGTAGCAAGTCTTTATTGTGCGATATTGCTTTCAACTAGAGAGGAAGACTTGATCAAGAGGTTTTGTTCTTCGTGAAATTTCCACAGACGGCACCAATTGTACGGGAAAGAAATAAATCTTCTCGTATAATCCTGTTGATTAAGTCTGCGCTCCTCCATACGTCGCTGCTTTACTCCCTAAAAACACAAACGTGAGCTAACCGGCGGGTGTGTGCCGGAAACCCCTCCGATGCCTAAGTTAGCAACTAGACAATAGACAATATGCTCTGTGTATTCTAGAGTAAGAATTGGGATACCTGTCCATAGGTCTGATCATGAGCTTTTATAGACTTTACTTTAGCACAATCCTAGTAGGATTCCAACTCTCCCTATGAGAGTCCTCCTAGAAATCACACACCCTACTCACTACCAACCAAGTGAGATGGTTTTGCACAATCCTAGTATACTCTCCTTAGCAGAGTCCTCCTAGGAGTCATACTCCTACTCACTACCAACCAAGTGAGATAGTTTGCACAATCCTAGTAGGACTCTAACTCTCCTTGGCAGAGTCCTACTAGGAGTCTCATCACTGCAAGCCAAGTGAGATGGCTAAACCCTTTACCTCAGTTATACATTTCTAACTGAACTGCCTTATCGGTCCCCTGCCATTCGAACCGTGTGATCGAAAGCCAATCTATCGAATGCCACCCTGCCGAGCTATACACAACTCGGTCCTCGCCATTGATGTTACCTCCTTTACCTCGGCTGACATCTTTACCTCGGCTGACATTGCAGTCAACCAGGTTATTTCGGTTCGGTGATACTTTAAGCACAACTGTCAATCTTGACTCTGAGATGACGCCTTGCAGAGCTATCCTTTAGCTCGGTTCTCCCCCCACTGATACCTTGGTTTTGTCTATTTAGACCGAGCTAACTGCAGCAGTCTCCGACCGAACTAACAAGGACGAGGTCCAACTTGCGAAGCCCAAACACCTCGGCCCATAGTTCGGCCCAAATCCATAATATGAGATGTTTTCTTGGCCTAAGACCGAGCTATACCAGCCCTTATCTCGGCCCATTGCGCGGCCTAACTTCCAAAGAAAACTTTTCCTAGCTCAGCCCAATTTGTTTACAAATTACCCTCTCAATTGCCCCTTAAGGGCAAAGATTTTTGCGCGGTCGGTCCTACTTGTCAACCGTGTTATCTTTTGCCGAAGGTGTTTTGTCCGACATCGCTGTTGTGCCAGACTCTGCCTTGGTGCGCGCTGCATCTTCCTCTACCTTGATGTGTTGGTGCACTCTCTCTATCAGGGCTTCCATAGTAAGGGGCAGCGTCATTGTCATTGAATCCCTCAACTCAGTTCACGATATTCTACTTCAGTCAATTTTACACCATCAAATAGATACTGCTTGTCTTTTATATCATCTCTGAACTCCTTCAGTTTCTTCAAATACTCTTGCCTTGAAACTTTCCTTATAGCTCCATGTCATCTTCCTCCAAAGCATTCGATCTCTAAACAGCTTCTTCTTCCTCTCTCTGTGTTAATTTTGGCTCAGCTAGCTTCCTTGTTGCTGCTGCATCCCGCTCTTTGATCACGCAATTGTTCTTCCTCCGACTCAGAACCATTATCATCATCATGAGAAATCCGTCTTTTAACTCGTCTTTCTTCTTCACTGCTCTTCTTTTTCTTTAAATCTCCCTTCTCTGTCTTCGTCTTTTTCGACTTTCTCTGCTTCAAATCCTCCACATCTGTCTCTGACTCCTTTTTTCTTCCCTTTGCCTTTTATCTGGCTCTTTATAGACTCTATGTCAGTCGTCATTCTTCTTATTACTTTGTCTTGCTTCCTTACGCGATCTTCGAGAACCTGTGGATCCATCTTCCGCCTTTGTCTATCAGGGCTTTGAGAGTGGTGTGGGCTTGAGTCCTATCTTTCTCTTGCTTCTCTCTGCGGATTCCTTCGCTGGGGATCTGATTCCGTCATGGGTGGGATAGAAGGTAAAACTTCGCGCCTCCCACCCCCTTCCGGTGTTTGTCCATCAATAGCAGATTGTAGCAAGTCTTTATTGTGCGATATTGCTTTCAACTAGAGAGGAAGACTTGATCAAGAGGTTTTGTTCTTCGTGAAATTTCCACAGACGGCACCAATTGTACGGGAAAGAAATAAATCTTCTCGTATAATCCTGTTGATTAAGTCTGCGCTCCTCCATACATCGCTGCTTTACTCCCTAAAAACACAAACGTGAGCTAACCGGCGGGTGTGTGCCGGAAACCCCTCCGATGCCTAAGTTAGCAACTAGACAATAGACAATATGCTCTGTGTATTCTAGAGTAAGAATTGGGATACTGAGATTGAGAGCTTGAGCCATGAGACACGCCATACGCACTGCATGTGCCTCGGCTTGTGCTGCAGAGGAAGCCTCAATAGACTTAGCACAACCATCCAATACCCTTTGAGTCTCTAAGAATCATAGCCAGTGCAGCTGATGAAGAGTGCTGACAAAAAGCTGCATCACAGTTGAATTTGACTCTACTATGCGAAGATGGCTGCCAACTTAATCGGGGGTTATGGCCATACTCCTACTCATTACCAACCAAGTGAGATGGTTTTGCAAATCCCAGTAGGACTCTAACTCTCCTTAGCAGAGTCCTACTAGGAGTCTCATCACTGCAAGCCAAGTGAGATGGTTGAACCTTTTACCTCGGTTATACATTCCTGCCCGAACTGATTTATCTCGGTCCCCTGCCCTTCGGACCGTGTGATCGAAAGCCGATCTAACGGATGCCACCTTGCCGAGCTATGTACAGCTCGGCCTTCGCCATTGATGCTACCTCCTTTTAATAAGCTGCTGCAACCACACCGGGCTAAGTTACCTCGGTCACACGCTTAAGTAATGATGTAGATGGCGCTCGGCCGAGTTATACCAAGACCGGCCGAGCTATACCAAGCCCGACATCCTTTCTCACCATTACCTCGGCTAACCACCAGGCCCACTTATTTCGGCTGACATCTTTACCTCGGCTAACATTGCGGTCAGCCAAGTTACTTCGGCTATGTGATACTTTAAGTACTACTATCAGTCTTGACTTCGATATGACGCTCGGCAGAGCTATCGTTTAGCTCGATCCTCTTTCTACTGATACCTCGGTCCATAGTTTGGCCCAAACCCAAAATATGAGATGTCTTCTTGGCCTAAGACCGAGCTACACCAGCCCTTATCTCGGCTCATTACGCGGTCCAACTCCCAAAGAAGACTCTTCCTAGCTCGGCCCAATTTGTTTACAAATTACCCTCTCACATAGCACGCAGGTACAAAGCTTTCTCATGCCAATAGCTTTCTGTTTCTTTATTTACTTTGATGAATGTCATATTATCTACAAAAAATGAGACATCCAATATCCCAAATTTATATTGCAGATTTTTTAATTGAAAGGTGAACAGACATGGAAGTAATATCAATTATGTTGTTCAAATCATGTCGAGTATGTGAGGAAATCAGATTGAATTTTTTCTAGATTGTGTGAATTTTCTCTAGATTGTGTGAATTTTCTCTGGATCATTACTCTTTTTTTCCTAAAATCTACAGATGACATATGTGTGCAGTTGGGGTTCTGGGACTGCAAATCATACAAAAACAAAAAGTAACTTTTTCAATATATACATAGCATGTAGGTACAAAGTTTTCTCATGCCAATAGCTTTCTGCTTCTTTATTTACTTTGATGAATGTCATATTATCTACAAAAAATGAGACATACAAAATCCCAAATTTATGTTGCACATTTTTTTAATTGAAAGGTGAACAGACATGAAAGTAATATCAATTATGTTGTTCAAATCATGTCGAGCATGTGAGGAAATCAGATTGAATTTTCTCTGGACTGTGTGATTTCTCTTTGGACTGTGTAAATTTTCTCTAGATGTGTGAATTTTCTCTGGATGTATGAATTTTCTCTAGATCATTACTCTTTTTTTTCCAAAATCTAGAACGCTGCATAATACTTTTGATTCTACAATCAGTAGGACAATCAGAAGTATTTTAATCACCGTATAACCGTAGTCTGAGCAAAATTCTAAGACACAATAAATTTGTACATTTAAAAAAACAAAACAAACTAAAAATAACTTGTTTTATTACTTGTAGTGCTTAAAGAAATTCTTGTTCAAGCTCATCCAATGACTTCTTCTTTTTCTTGTCTGTCAACCACCTCATCTTGTTAGACTTGACCTGCAATAAGCACTGGGATTAGCAAACAAAATTTGATGGCAACCCTCCATAAAAAGATATTCGTAAGAGAACATATAAAATACACGATGATACAAAGTTTCCTGTATTGTGTGAATTTTTTCTAAACTATCTGAATTTTCTCTGGATATCTAAATTTTCTCTGAATGTCTGGAGTAGATTGATATTGAGGGAACTTAGATACTATGAAAATATTAGGTGTCTTTTATATTAAAATCCTAACAACATGACTTTAAAAAAAAAATCCCCTAATATTAATTTAACATAAAAAAAAATACAAAAAACAATAATGTGAAGTATTTATCTAAAAAGGCGTGGGTCGCACTAAAATTTTCATCCGCGCACACAAACAAAGCGAGATAGGTCATCTCTCAGCCACTATAATATCTATCAGTTGAATAGTGAGGTAGTTAGAGATAGTGGTGTTCGTTCGTTAGGTTCTGAAACGAAACGAATGGCTTGTACTCTTCTCTCTCCTCTCAACCTCCCAACATCTTCTTCTTCTTCTTCTTCTTCATCAATCAACCACTGTGCCATCAAGACCAAGACGACCACCACCACCATCACCGCCACCGCCGCCGCCGCCGCAGCCAATAGTAGATGTTGGAGGAGGACGAGTAGGAGAACGGCCACCACCGTCATTGCCAAAGCTTCTGAAAAAGACGGAGGCGAGGGCGACGATTCTCCGGCATTCAACCCTTTCGGCTTCGTCACGAACAATCCTTCGAGTAAAAGCGCAATTCAGCTTCCCGAGAGTCCCGCCGAGGACGGCAATGTCGGCCAAATGCTCTATGTCAGGCCTTTTCCCACCCTTACTTGTAGTTTTTCCTCAAAATTCAGTAAAAGAAGTGAATTTGATGTGAAACACTCCAATAAGAAAAATTAGATTTGAGTAAAATTGTGGAAGAGTCAAGTTTGAGTGGAAGTTATGGGTTTGAATAAATGAGAATGATGAAAAGTTTAGGTGAAACTAATCGTGTGTTTGAATCATGGATTTGGAAAGGAAATGAGCAAGTTTGGAATGGGTATGAATTTACAAGTAAAGGAATTGGGTCCCAAAATTTGAGTAAAACTCAATTTGGTGCAAGTTTGAGACTGTTTGGATCATGGATTTGGGTATGAATATGGAAAGGGAAAGGCGATTCTCCATTTCAAATCCCCTCAGCTTTTCCTTTCCATTTCTAAATCTCTACCCAAATCCATGATTCAAACACAGCTTGAGTGAAGGAGTGGGGGAGATTTTAATGACTTTTTAATCTAGTTTAAGAGAATATAGATTTGATTAAGGGTTGAAGAGTCCCTAAGGCAGTTCCACATAGTTTATTGAACTTGAATTGTTCCTATTCCAACATCATTTTTGTTTTCCTGGAATTACTGATTGTTTGCTTCACATTTTGAAGTTCTGTCCTTTGCGTTTTCAGGATCTTTTAGATTTTTGAGTTGACAAATAAAAAAAATTGTGCACTTAGTCCTGTTTTATTAGCAGGATTAATAGTGAGAGGATTAACGATCCATGGGATCTGTCAACGTTGTTTTGCAATGGATATAAAAATAAATAATCTCAATTATATGTTTACTTTGCATTATTAGTTGTAGGGTCTACCAATTTTGTTAGATAAAATATCCATCAAAATCTAATCTAGATAACAAAAATTACAACGAATCAATGGAATATGACTCCTATGATTAATATCCCAATCCTATGCTATAATATGTCTAATCAAACAGGACCCTAAGCTTTGTAATGGTATTGACATTATGTTATTTTTGTACTTTTAATATTATAAATTTACTTGTTTATGATTGAAAATTGAAATTGTGGTATTGAAATTTAATACCCAATTACTTCTTAGGTCATTAAATATGGCCAATGAAATGCATTAACAATTTTCAAATTTATACCAATTTTGGGTTTTTTTATTTTTATACTATTGTAGAGGTTATTGAGTTGAACTTGTATCATAGAATCAAAGTAGATTTACCAAGGAATCACGAAATGCTATGGTTCTTGCGTATAATTTTTTAATTTATTCAAATGTATACTTGGACATTACAACTTCTAAGCTTCATATGTTTTTCAAGGTTTTTTTTTTTTGTGTTGTTACATTTACTGGTTTGTGTATTCGTGCTTTCTAATTCTATCAGTTAACGCTAGTTGTCACCATGGTTTTTGTTTCATAATTTGTTATTTTTTAATAAAGAAATTACTTCTCAATTATTTTAGTTTGAGATTCTGATTTCTTTTTGTCTTTTTCAATTAAAGATCCTAGTTATCATGATCCATCAAAGATTTTGACGCTTTTTGCATCTCCAAGAACCGTGTTTTCTTTTTGTGTGTTTGCCTCGCCTCATGGGAGAGGGGTTCACATATGATATGGATATGGGGGAGGGTGGATCACTTGATATAGACATCATATGATCTATTTTGTAAAAGCCAAAGTTGTATGATAAATGGGGGAAAAAAAGGGCATGACTCTAGGTTGGGATATGTGTTGTATGGGTGAAGACATCAGTCATCAATTCCTTACTGGCTGATCTTTTCTTACTCATATCCTTCTCAATGCGTGTTGAATAATGCTTCTTCAAAACCATGAACAGATCATGTCAATTCTGTCCAAAACTAGAGACAAAAATTGCATTGTCATTTTAATGACAATATGCAGATATAACTCATTCCTTGTTAATATAAGTCACATGTCCGTAGGCTGCATTTTGTAACGCATCAATCCATACTTGCTCTAGGTTTTTTTTTTTTTTAAAATTTATTTTGAAAACAAATAAATAAAACAAACCTTCAGTGAATAAGGTTTTTATGTGAACATTTGATTAAAATGTAGTCACTATAAATGTAAAATAATAAATTTTTTCTCATTTGAGGAGTGTGAATACTTCAAGTTAACTCAACCCATTCAAGGTTGTAGGCTTGTAGCAGTGAACTTTATCTACAGTTAAGCATTGTAACTGATGGTGGAGAAATAAATTTGAAAGCTTGAAATTTGGTCGATAACATCATCTAAATTATATTAACAATGGAAGTAGATTATTTTTGATGCGAATACACTTTCTTCGTTAAAGATGTCAATCTAATGGTACTCTGAACTGAGATAATTTAGTTGTACTGACTTCAAAAGGTGTTTACTATCTGCGGCACTGGCTGCATATATTTTTAGTTTAGTGTGAAATTAGAGAATGGCTTGATACTCCTGTTATTAAATTGTCGTACCATTTTGACATGCAAACTTTTAAATTCTAGAGGATAGAAGACAAAGGAAAGGAGTTTGGCTCTACCATCAAATCTGGGCAGTTTAGATGGTTTGTGAGAGAAACAGGTAAACTTTTCACTGCTGGAACATTTATCTATTTCCTTCTCAGTTTTTTGACATTCAGATTCTGGGCCTGCAGGAGCACCTGAGAGCCGCCGCGGAACCATTGTTTTCCTTCATGGGGCTCCAACACAATCTTTTAGCTATCGAGTTGTCATGTCTCAGGTTTGTTGCTGATTTTGGTTATATAGATTCATGTTGAGATATATTGAGAATTACAGAAATCACACTACCATGGTGCTCCATGTCCAGGAACACTGACATTTTTCCATTTGTTTTTTAATTTTACCTTCCTGTTTTGATAACAAGCTATTTGGCCTTGTACTTTGTTGGCTACATATAAGGTAAAGATAACAAATCCACTCCAATCAGGAGAGAAAATAATGTTGGCAGCTGTTTGAGTTGGCGGTAATGGATCCAATAGTGTGAATGGGCCAAGAATATGAATTAAATTTTCATTAAAGATTCCTAGGCATTGTTTATTTTTGCATATGGCGATTTGAGCACATTAATCTGCTCTTTACTAATTATTCTGTCATTGCACATTGAATTCATTTTTTGTTCTTTGACTAGATGGCAGATTCTGGATTCCACTGCTTTGCACCTGATTGGATAGGGTTTGGTTTCAGTGACAAGCCACAGGCAGGATACGGTTTTGACTACACCGGTCAGTGTCAATCTCAATATTAAATTGTATCTCAATGTTTTTGTGGTTCTGTTGAGTGTGATTTCTAATATTTTAATAATTTTTGGTGACAGAAAAGGAGTTCCATGATGAATTTGGAAAATTACTAGATGTCCTGGGGGTCAAATCTCCATTTTACCTAGTAGTTCAGGTTTGAACAAATTTGATAAAACTGAAAATTTATCAGTGATTTTTATCATGTTACATTTATGAGGCATTGCATTTGGTTATTATAGTTGCAAAGATTCATAAAAGTTCAATGAAGCTGTAACTGAATCATTTTTTGCCAGTCATAGTTATAAGTAGATCATTTGTGTGGTCAACTATCATACTAAATCTACAAATCTAATTTGTAACTTAACATAGTCTTTATGCAGGGATTTCTTGTAGGTTCTTATGGATTAACTTGGGCCTTGAAAAATCCTAGCAGAATATTGAAGCTAGCAATTTTAAACAGTCCAATAACAGATTCCTCTCCAGTTCCTGGATTGTTTCAAAAGCTCAGGTTTATTTTTTGTGACAGCCATCAGTAGGCCAACTACTTTTGGCTATACTTTATCTTATCTTCCACCTGTTGTATATATTAGGTTCAAATGAACCATTAGGAATTACCCTTGATTGAGTGGATGAATCTGTGATTGGCATCTTGTGGTGCTTCCATGATGCACAATGTCCTCAAGATCCAATTTTTGAAGTTTAGAACGGTTTATCTGAAATTTAACAATTTTCCTACACATTTCGCTTATCAAGCGATGAATTATTTAGTGTTTTTAGGTAGTGTACTTGGCATTAGCAAACTGCTACCTTATGCGTATCTTATTGGAGTATCTTATGAAAGAGTTTATGGGCATTTATTTATATGTGATTTGTTTGTCTAATTGGTTTTATTTATCAACTGAGAATTGTATGCCGCCCTTCTTGTTTCTCTCCAATTTATCATTACCTTAGCCATTTCAAACCCTTTCTTCCATACGTTAAATGAGGTCATTACTATATTATTTAAATATTCATTTGATGTGTCCATATGAAAAAATAGAAATTATTTGGCATAGTGCCATTTGAATACTTGCTTTGAAGGATCAAGGGTACATCTTTTATGCTTTATTTTCCTCCTAAGTAAGTAATTTTCTTGATAGCATTTGATTTCAAGACATGTGTGGACTGATGGACCTTCCTCATTGGCTACAAAATTTCTTGTTTTGTTTTTTAGTTTTATTGGTTAAGAAATGATTTTTTACGGCTCTTTAATATTGACTTGTTGAGTTGAATGGTGCGCATGGCATTACACTATTTCATTACTCCTCTAAATTTTTCATGAATATTATATCTATATTTGATTGAATTTGTCATTTCTTTCAGATTTCCTCTCTTGGGTGAATTTACTTGCCAGAATGCAATAGAGGCTGAGCGCTTTATTGAAGCAGGTAGCCCGTATGTATCAAAAAGTGTATTTTGTACTCTGAGAAATCACAAGTTGTTAAGTTGGCTTCTGATTAATGTGCATTGTGCAACAATATCTGCCCCCTTTGTCACTTTTATTGTTCTGCCAATCTTTCTTGTCTTTAATCCCAACTAACAATAAAAGAAGAAAATATCCTCTGTAATTCGGTGTTAACTCAAGCTGGGTTTTTGTATCAAGAATATTATCCTACTACCGCTAAGATTCACTAGCATTTGGCATCCAAAAATGCTAAATATCATGATAAATTTCAAGTGTTACCGAGCAAGAGAACTTGTTTGGACATGTGAGGTTTTGAGGTCCCTTGTATGTTACTGGATTCATTGAATTACTGTGCTCAAATTAGGTGCATTTGTTGTTCTCCTAATTATGTCACGTCTTTAGTATTATTTCTTTGGTTTTGCGCTATATATAGAGAAATCACCCTAAAACCCTTCAGGAGAAATATTTAAGAAATGCAGGAGGCATGGAGACATAATATGTGTCACAAACATTATAATGCAAAAAGAATTTGGTTTATATTTGCAAACTATGCTAAATTGCTTATTATGTAAGAAAGCTTAAGTATGAAATCAACATCAATGCTCCTTGGCAGCTTTGAAGAACTTCACTAAGTTATTTATTTTGCATCAATCTAAATGCATGTGTTTGTTTGTCTATTTATTTATTTTTATCTAAGGACATGATTACTCTCCTGTGACAGTTATGTCCTGAAGCTGGAAAAGGCTGATGTGTATCGGTTACCGTATTTGTCAAGCAGTGGACCAGGATTTGGTTTGTGCTCTACCTGCTTTTAACACTTTCATGATACATGACATGTAGTTTTCTCCATAAATATCTATAAATACCTGTCATTTAGCACATATAGTAGGAAAAAACAGAAACTGAAGACTTCTGCTTTTGATTAGTTCATCTTCGAGTTCAAACTCTAACCACCCAATTATATGCCATGTTGAGCAGGGAATTTATTTGTATACAACTTCTGTTTTCACATATACTGTTCAGCAAAATCTAATTATGATTTTTATTTGATGAAGATTGTATAAACAATGTTGTGTGTTACAGAATTATCTACTATTTTGCATCACGTGGGCAATGATGTTCAAAAATTTGTTCCATATATAGATAAAAGATTTCTTAATGGGATAACTATCTTCCTCCAGTTAATACTCTAGTTGCTTATGCATATATAATGAAGACAAACCACTTAAAAATTTTATTTTGCATACTTTGGTGTTTCAGCTTTGCTTGAAGCTGCAAAAAGAGCCAACTTCAAAGGAATCTCAAGCCAAATAGCAGCTGGTTTTGCATCTGGAAGGTATACCATTATGATTAATCAAGATATGGTCACCAGTGGTTCTGAATAGTCTTATATATGCCTATGCATAAATAAATAAATATATTTATTTGTATCCGCACACACATGTAGCACACAACTATTATGTTTGCTTATATTTCACTGTGTTAGGTTGAAGCGAGTAAGATAGGTGCTATATGGGAATTTTAGCCTGATAGAAAATCATTAATAACAATATATCATACACTAAAATTTTGGAATTTATATAAAAAAACCACTTGCCCAAAGAAAAGTTTTGTAGTTGTGGTAGCTTTAGTAGTGCTCAAGTTGGATGAAACTGAAGAGAAAGTAGGATTGGTTGCTCACATATTTTTGTTCTTGTCTTCTAATTCCTAGTTTTGGACAATGTTGCGTTGGAATTTGGAAACTCAAATTCGCATCTCCATTTTGATAGTGTGCAATATAGAGCCAAGTCACGCTCATGATGTAGATGAACTAGGTGTAAAATGCAGGTCAACCATGTGCTGATACTAAGGTTGATAGTGTAATTGCATTACCAGTTAATACGTCCAAATTGATGACAAAAATGTTCATGTCCGTCCCTTGCATGATCTGCTTCCCATTGTTGGTTGAGAATGCATTTCTTAATTGTTCTTTTATGATTTAATGGGTGTGAAAAGAACTCAGATGGTTTGGCAACGTTCGACTTGAAGTCATAACACGTATGTTAGTAGTGCTATATACACAAAATTTATACAGAATTTTTGGTCCCGAATGATGTGGCAGCTTTGCATTCTATCACTTCAAAAACGAAAGCCTATTATTGTGACTTATATTTTCAAGATTGTCATTGCCACATCATTCTAGTATACAATTTTGTATATATTTTCCGTTTGTGAGTCACTTTCCATGTTATTATATGGGAAATTATACCATTGTTTGGGGGCCTACTAGAGTTGCATCTTTGGGAAGTAAGCACTGGTTTGTTACTTTTTTATGATTATCCTCAGGGTGTAGCCTTTTGAAATATTAATGGCTTCAGCTAACCCTACATTTCTTCTTCTGCTTCTGCTCTTGGTTCCTGAAAAAACGGCTTCTTCTATTAGCTGGGATAAGCCAATATTAGTTGCCTGGGGAACAGAAGACAAGTATCTGCCTTCTTCAGTAGCAGAAGAGTTTCAGAAAGGAAACCCTACTAATGTCAAGCTTAAGCTGATAGAAGGTGCTGGCCATATGCCGCAGGAAGACTGGTAAGTAACTTACTCTGATATGGGCATCGGAATGAATTTCATTTTTAATTTCTGACCAGTAAACTGTTATTAACAGGCCCGAGAAAGTTGTGGATGCTTTGAGAGCGTTTCTCTTGTAAATCACTATTGTCGTACATATAAAGTTGTTGAGCATGTGCAAGCATTGTTCTTTTAGTTGAAGAGCTGTTTGTGTGAAGGTAAAGAATGCTAACTTCATAGAAATGCAAAGCTTTTCGATAAATATAATCGTTCTTTTGTGAGTTCCATTGACAACCAAATGGCTAACCGAAACAAGCACATGCGTGAAACCAAGAACCTTCGTTTTTTGATAGCTAATTTTCTCCTGGCGTAGAACAAGAGGCTTGCACCGTGTGTAAAGGTCTCTGAGGTATGCCCACTGTAGGGCTTTTAAGCACATGATTATTCCAAGCTTGAAGGTGGAAGCTTGAGGGAATTCAAGTCAATGCAATCATCATGGATGAAGATATATGAATTCAAATAATTCAAGAGGATTCGTACTTATCCATTTGAGCTAGGTGATATCTGAGTTCGAGGTCTAGCTATGGTGGGAAGGGGAAGCTCTGAAATTAGTTGAAACAAGAGTGGTGTGGTTTGGTCTTCGTTGTGCAATCAATACAGATACAAAAATCAAACACAAAATGGGTCACATAATACACGTGAATGGACTAGATTTTATAAAATTTGTCAATAAGATTGACTTTTGGGAAATCTTACCATCCATTTACAGACTTTGACAGCAGTGATACACGTCTCATCTGATGGAAATGCATGTTTTCTCAGTTGAGCTGAGAGTGGGGTTCAATATTGAGCCAACTTGGGATAACATTTGTCATGCAATTCACAATGCCAAGAAATTGTTGAACTTGTTTGGTTGTGAAATTGGCATCAAGAAAATGATCAAACCTATGCGAGGCTGAATGCTGTATTGGCAATTTGATATGTGCATTCCTAAAAATCCAATATTAGATATACCAATTTTCATCTTTTTCTCAGAGAGCATGATGCCATATGTTTGCACAAGAGAGTGGAATTTGTGCGAAAGGGAAATATGAGAGAAATGATTTTGTGCCAGTTTTGTGACCAATTTCTTCTCACTAGAGTTATTCTTGTGCAATTCATCGCGAGTCATGTGGATGTACAGGAGTGAATTTAGAATAAACTTCATTTGATCTGCTAGAGAGTAACTTGAGAGATTTTTGTTTAGCACATGCTCTTACATATTCAGTTGTACCTTAATAGGCCACTTGTCTATGTAATATAACCCATATACCTTTCTAAATATGTCATTTTCTACCAACAAATTCACTGAACAAAAGTAGCAAATTTAGGTTAAGATCAAATTTTGTAACTATGAAGGCTCAGAAACATTGGGAAAAATAAGCAGCATGCAAATACAAAAACACCTAAATTAAGTTAATTTATCAAAAATGGAAAACAAGCAACTTCAAAGTGAAAGCCATGGAGTTCAAGCCAACAAAAAATATGTCATTTTGGTGTTGTAAGTTGAAAATTGATAATCAAATAACAGAAACTAAAAGCTCCCATTCACCTACTTCCCAATAATCATCTATTTTTTTAAAAGCTTTGAGTTATTTTAGTCTCACACGTTATACGCAGAAATTATACCAAACACAATAACACAAAATTTCATGATTAAAAAAATAATAATAAACATGGCTGATATCATGCAAGTTCAGCATACAATGAAAAAAAGTCATCTGCACTGTGGCAAAGGTTCTGAAAGTAGGGTTAAGGTACTACTGCCCCAAAAAAACCTGAAACTATAACCAAGATTAGCAAATACTCTCCCTTCCATTCTACCAAAATATAGAAAAGAAGTAGACTATTTCACTTTCTTCTCTAGTTGCTTGCCATTTTGACTTCTAGTTTCAACTTCTATTCTTAGAAGTCTCCACCTTAGTTTGCGCTCCCTTCATTACCCCTCATATCCCATTTCCTCCTCCTGTCGTCCAACTATGTCATCATCATTAACCATCCGTATCACACCATCGCATCACTTTCTTCGAACTTTCTACCACAGGAGGCTTATTCTTCCTTCCTCTCATTTTTTTCTTCTGGTCACCTTAACCGTCGCTTTCTTGGACTTTGTTTTAGCAGGAGGCTTCTTAGCTGTTTTAGTTTTCTTCTTCTGATCTGTGTCATCGTCGTCATCGTCATCATCATCATCATCATCATCATTATTGCTGTCGTCGTCATCATCTTCATCGCTTCCATTTAGCTTTCTTTTTGCAGGCGGTTTCTTACGTCCACTCATGGTCCTCCCTCCCTTTGATTTTGCACTTTTAGCATTTTCCTCATCCTCACTTCCTGGTGCACTAAGATCACCATCCATGTCCACATCTTTGCTTCCCTTCTTAACAGTTTGCTTTCTCGGTTTAATTTGTGCTTTTGCAACTTGAGATCCACTCAGCTTTTGTAACTCTGGTACATATGCCGTTGTCTAGACAGAAGAAACAAAACCCTTGAAATTAACTAGTGTTGAAAAAAGAATTACATACAAAGGAAAGTTTTAGAAAAGCAAGCTGGAGAAAGAGAGAGAGTTTGGACAATATACCCTGCCACCAGCAGCAATAAACTCAATTGTCTTCCCTGCCATAAACCAGAAGCTCATTAATGTCTTTGCGGAAGGCAATTGAACAGATTGTTAACTTTGGGATGGTAAAATTGTGCACAAGAGAAAAATAAAATTTGAATTAAAACACAAATTTGATGAATTATTTCATTGCTAAGGTCGTCTGTAATTTGTTTATCAAAATACTTTATTGCTACTTAATTACTCTTTAGTAAAAGTGAGATTCTAACACTCTGTTTGGTTTGTTTTCAGAGTTTTTTTCCTCCTAAAAATAGAAACTAGTTCGATGATAATAAACATAAAATTCCAAAATTATTTTCAGAAAATCATATGAAAATGATGTTACCACGATCCCCAAAAATCAAGTCTTATGCTATGGACATCGAGTATGTACGCCACAAAAGATTGTTATGGAGGTCAGAGGCCAAACCATCAACAAAAGCCTTGCCAGGTTTCTTTTCGCGGGAATGGAAAATCCAACTACTAGGAAATTGACTACTATCTGCCCCAACTTCAACAGCTTTTGCAATGACCTGTGAAATCAATTGATACTGTCAAAACTATCACATATATCAGAACATCTTACCGTTAACTTGTCCAGGCTTTTTCCCCCACCGAAAATGAAACAACCATTCGAGTGGGAAGCGGCTGCAGTCGGCATCAACTTCAACCGCATATTGAATAACCTACAAGTATTGCTTCTATACTAGCTGTAAAGAAAGTGAACCGTCCAGCACAAAAAATAAAATTAAATTAAAAAAGATCACTGACCTCTTTAATGCACTTGTGCAATGCTACGCAGCTTTCTTTGGAAAGGCTGGAGGCAATTTGCAGCGGATGAATTTTTGCCTGTGAGTAATAATTGAAAGATAGTAAAGTAAATAAAATTCAACCATTTCGCTAGAACTAGAGTTGCAGAAATAGCGAACGCAGCTAATAATCACATAAAGATGCATTGAAATAATAGGAATTTTGCAAAGTCAATACATTTAAAATCAACACTCTTGGGCTGCCATCAAAGAAAAAGAAACTAAAATCTACCACAATAAAATATAATGCTATAATGATCACATTTTTATGCCACATTGGTTTACCATGTGAGTTGTCACCACTGCATTGGAAATATGCACAAGTGATGGGATCCATTCAACTAATGTAGTGGTGACAGCTCACATGGTAAATCAAACGTGGTATTAAAATGTGATCATTGTAGCATTGCTGGGGAAAAAAAATCTGTATTTCTAGAAACAAGCTAGAGAACTAACCATCAAAGGCGTCTTCAATTAATTTTTTTAATTTCATGATGAAGGCAAATTTTATTTTTAAAAGGCATCAAAAGGGGGGATGGCACCCATTTTACAAAAAGGTTGCACCATGATAACCTATGCCAAAAAGAAACACCTATTAGCAAGGTTGTTAAGATCGGGATCATACACAGGATCGTTTTGGGAGTCTGCCGGATCGGATCTTAGGATCAGATCGAGGATCGTATGATCCTACTAAAATGATAAAAAAAAGCTATAATTTTTATATGACTAAGTAATACTATCAAAATGTATATAGAATGATCCCTCAAAAAAAGAAATATAGCAATTCAAAGTAGCATTCAAACATTTTTTCAGCAAAGAATTGGTATAGAGTTGTGCTGAACAAAATTTGTGGTTCAAGTTAAAATGTTTTTTTTCCAACAAAGTTCAGGGAAAAAGAAACAAAGAAGAACAACAGCAGCAGCAAAGAAGAACCAAGAAAAATGAAGAAGAAAAAGGCAAGAAAAATGAAGAAACATGAAAAAAAAAAAGAAAAAAAAAGTAATTCAAAGTTCTTGTCAAATGTTTCAATCAAAGTTCTGGTTTGCAATCTCTCATGTGTTCGCTTTGGTCAAGAACAGAAACACAACAAAAAAATAAAATAAAAAATATATAGAGAAGAACAGTCGAACTACAGAACAGAGATGAGAGAAGAGGAGGAACAAAGAAGTTGGGAGAAGAAAAATGGTCATTCAAACTACAGAGAAGAATCGAACACATAGAAGAAGAAGAAGAGAAACAAAGAAGAAGAAAAGCAACGAAGAAAAGGAAGACCAGCAGTGAAGAAGAATAAGAAACGAAGAAGAGACAGAAAAAAGCAAAAAAAAAAATACAAAGAAGGAAGATTTGAAGAAGAAGGATACCTGGTTCCACAAAATCTGAAACTTTGATGTCCAATTTCTCTTTCCCCAATTTGTATTGCCCTAATCGCAACTTAAAGGGTCAATTTTTCTTCTTCTTTTATCTCGATAAAGGGTTGTTTGTTTTAAAGTTGGCAAAAAAAACCCTATAAATCAGAATCGCATGGAATCGCGATCTTGATATGATCCCACCGATCCTGATATGATCCTACCACGATCTTGACATGGGCCCGATCCAAAATACGAGTTGGATTGAATGTTATATATTGGATCGTACGATCCTACAATCCGGATCGCGATCTTAACAACCTTGCCTATTAGCTTAAATAAGAAAAAAGGCCATGCGCTTCTATGGGTGAAAGTGAAGAGAACAAAAAAAATCCACAATTTGATCAAGGTTATGCATAACCTTCCTGAAAACCAACAATACAAAACGGCCAAAAAAATAATCCAAAATCCTATACAAAGACTACTCTTCTCCGTGAAAAGGCCTATTTAGCCAACATGCGAACCCGCCTATGTCCCTATGGAAAACCCAATCGATACAAAACCAATCTCCGAAGATCCCTAATGACATCGTGGTGGATAAGCAGGTGTAAAATTGACTCCACATACACTTTGCATAGGCAACACCAATTAATAAAAATCTTTCACCTCTTGATAAGATGATCAATCATAAGGATCTCTTCATGAGATGCATGCCACACAAAGAAGGCACACAAAAAGATGTCACCACCTCCTTAATGAAATTCCTTTCAAAGCCCATACACTAAAACTAAGAAGGCTATATGAAATGCATTCCGAAGGAAACTCTACCCTCCTCCTTAACAAAATGCCTTTTGAAGCCCCTACACTAAGCTAAGAAGGCTAGGCCCAAATGCCTTTCTAAGGAAACTCTACCCTCAGCCTCCCCAGCAACACTTCATAAAAATACTTCACCTCAAATCACCCTTTTTTTTTGCTACAGCCCACCACGAGTCTCGCCCTTTCCCCACACCCCTACAGCCATACACTAAGTTGAGAAGGCTAGACAACTGATCCAACTCCCAGTCTTGCACATTCCTCCTCAATCCAACATTCCGAAATACCTCACTAACTGCACCGGTAGCTTGGTCCGCCACAGAAGCTTCTCTAGAGAAAAACAGAAGGAAAGGTTCTCTCCAACATCTCCGAATGCTAATTTCAAAATATAATCTCCTTAAGGTATATCAAGAAACTTTCATTAAATTCTCTCCCAACCGAGTGCCAATTTCAGATCTTGTTAAGGAAATGAAGTTTGGTCCTTACACAGAATAATCTCGAGATACATGGAACCAAACAAAAATAAAAAATAGCTTAAATATTTGATACACCAATAATTTTCGATCACATAGATCCACTATTCCTGTGAATTTCCTCTTTGTGGGTACTGTGAAGCGAAGTTCCACGTCACCTGAGTACTAAAGTAATATTTAATCATATAAGCGTGAGGGCACCTTCACCTTAATGGCTAGCTTTTGGGGCGAGTTCTATCCAAAACCATGTAACATAGTATTAGAGCTAGAGTACTGAAAGATGGGTAGGGTGCGTGTCCCTGACCCACACACCGTAGGTGCTGTTGAGTGAGCATGCTGGGCATGAGGGAGGGTGTGAAGCGAAGTCCCACATCACTTGAGTACTAAAGTAATATTAAGCATACAAGCATGAAGGCACCCTCACCTTAATAGCTAGCTTTTAGGGCGAGTTCTACCCAAGACCGTGTAACAGGTACATCTTGGTTTCACTTCTAAAGTTTTCAAGTTCTCCGAAAACTCGGCACTTCATTCAATAATCAACCAGACAAACTTCCCTAGAACAAGTCATCTCAACTACAGAATAGCTCATCTCCTGCTCGTAAATTTCCTGGTGGTCAAGCATCAACCAATTAAATCTCACATGCCAGAGACCACATTCTTAATGATTTAGTGGATTCAAAATCACTCGATCTTTCACCACTTTCAACAACTCAAGCAGCAGGTTTCTTCACCTTCACTTTTCCAGGTCTCTCCTTACTGTCATAACATGTGGTTCTGTCATCACCATCCCAGGACCCTGATTAGGATAAGCTCTTTTGCATGGGCAGGCAGGTGCAATGCAAGACCATACAACTCTCATCATTGCTGTTTGATGAATAATATAAAAGGCTTCCACAGCCAATTCCTAATCCTTTGGAGTCCATTAAAGAACCAGAACAAGCATACCCGGCCCAACGCCAACAAGAGCCATAGCATCTTCTTCTTTCTGAGATTTTTCTGGTTATAGACTACAGTTGGGAGCACCAAGCACCAAAAACATTTCAACCAAATCTGCTTTTCCGTTACACTCACCCACAAGCTAATAACAAGAAAGCAGGGGATCATTTAATTTCATTTATGACCCACATAGTTGGAGAAAAAATTGTAGAAAGTAGTTGAAAGTTGAAGTCATGGATTAAAAAAAATGATGGCAAACTCTACAGCTATGATATTAACCAAATTTGAAGTTTCTGTGATGAACATATTGATTTTAGAGAACGCAGGGTACACTGACTTGGTATAGCACTTCATCTGCAATCCAATTGCCAATACCTGAGATAAAACTCTGCAAAGATGAAAAAAGAAAATTAATATGTATCCTGATAAGAAAAAATAAAGCAACTGTTGATAACTTCTGTTAGATAAATAGAAGTTTTTGTACACAGTACAATTTGCAAGAAAATCTTTTTTGTTTGATTAGTAGTCCAAGGTAAACTAGAGATCATTTCTTCTGCAGTTTAAAACATTTTCTAGCACATTAAGACATGTCTAGTGATTATCTGTATTTATTCTCTGTAAGCAGGATCTGTTTGAAAGATAAAAATTAAATTACCATCCAAGCATTCCATAAGAATGCTTGTTAGCTGAAATGACTGGTATTTTTTTTGGTTACATCTGAAAGAGAAATGACTGGTATTGAACAACCATTTCATTACAGCAAGTCCTTCATGTAAACAACCATGCATAAGATTTTAGATAATTTTATTGTTACTCAAGTTTGGGAAGCTTTGTTCCCTAATGCCAACTATCAGTTAATATAGTTAGAAAGTCTCCTGAAGTTTAGTCAGATAGCAAATGGCCTTTCTCAGTTGAAGCATCAAATGTAAACAGCCTAATTAGCAAAACGCAATTCCAAATCTGGGATTGGCTACACAAATCTTGCAATACAATTTCAATTAGCTGAAACCAATTTCAAGCCTCCGTAGTCCTTGGGGAGTCTTCATCTTGAGCCACATCACACCTTCAGTCAATGTTCCCTGTTGTATAAGAACAAAATAAAGAGGCTTCCAGGCACATTGGCAAAAATCTGTTTGGTGTCAAACCCAAGTCTATTATATTGACATAAATGATACAGTTAGGTACCACTGATTTTCCAAGTCCATTGTTCACAATAGACATTATTTGTCATTTCTTAAATTACTTAAGATAAATGGGCTTGCACACGAGTCAACACTATATTAACCACATGGTAAAGATACATGCTCAGAAATTTGTTTTGTTGCAAGCACATTGACAAAAATCTGTTTGGTGTCAAACCCAAGCCTATTATATTGACATAAATGATACAGTTAGGTACTACTGATTTTCCAAGTCCATAGTTCACAATTGACATTATTTGTCATTTCTTAAATTACTTAAGATAAATGGGCTAGCACACGAGTCAACACAATATTAACCGCATGGTGAAGACACATGCTCAGAAATTTGATTTGTTGCAAGCATCTAATCATGATGGAGAAAGAAAACGATTAAATGAAGCTTTTAACATTGTTCACTACTACACATAAAAAATAGGTTTCCAAATTCCAAGCATAAGAATGCTATTGCAGTATAAAAGCATCCTACTTTGTGCAAACAATGTGAAGGTTAGGAAATGGTACAGTCCACATGATGCTGAACGGCTACAAGAAATCTATCCAATTAGTCAATTGATCCAAAACTAGAAGACATGGAGAATTGATTAAAAGGGAAGATCAAAAGTTTCAAGAAGAATAAGAACTGAGGAAGAAACACAAGGACCACAACAATAATACAAAAGTCCACTGCCTACTCAGCTCCATTAATCAACTCTAAATAAACATGTTACATAATGGTTTACTTAAAAGCATTCAAGCAACCCTAACTAAGAAGTTAGGGAAAATAAAACAAAATCAAAAGTATAATATTATCAAAATTAATTATTAAATTCTATTTCTTCAACCAATTCCTTTTTGTTCCCCATTACCACCTCTCCCAGTTTCCATATTGGATGGATGAACATTGGGTAATAGTAGGCGTGGACAAACATCTGGCCCGGTTCGCTTCGGGCTAACACTACATAATAAGGACCTTTGTGTCTGTTCAAGCTCGGCCCTACCCTAACATTGGACATCTATATTTGCCCAAGTCCAATCCAAAAAATAATTATAAGTCCTAGCCCGCCCATCGGGTTATATATTAAAAATAAAATAAAATATTGTATAATTAAATTCAATCACACATTATATTTATTAAATAAATATATTGACATCATTATAAATTGAAAGATTTTGTGTATAAATTAAAGGATTTCTTAAATAAATTCAATCATACATCACCACAAATGTAAGTTTCAATAAAACCAACAAAGATAAAAATATATATTTTAATGTATTATAAATAATTAATTAATTAATTTAATAACGGACAGAGCTGAGTTGAAAGTATAAATCTCAAATCCAAGCCATTAATATTTAGGGTTGAAAATGTTGGCCCAACCAAGTCATATGGGCTAAAACAACATTCTCAAGCCCTAGAAAAATAGGGCTGGGCCGGGCCGGGCCAACACACCAATATCCATCCTTAGGTAATAGAGACTAATAGTCTTTTCTTTACCAATAACTTATTGCTAAGGCCATCTTAGAAAGGTATTTTTATAGGTGGGGTGCAGAGAAGATTCGTTGCTTACTATTGACCAGGTATCAACAAAAAAAAGGGGAAAGTTTCTGTAAACTTGAAGTTCCGTGGATTACTTTTCATGCAAAGTTTAAAATATGGAGGTACAACCATACAAGGAAAGCAGCCTCAACCTGATCAAGTAAAAGAGCCTTGATTCCAATCTTCTTCTTGCTCAAGGAGTTGATAAGTTCATCAATGGTCATAGGCTCCAACAATGCATCTGGACCAAGCTCAGAAATTGGGGGCACAGAAGCTGGCTGTGATAATAAAAACATTAAATCAGCCTTGTGAAGATAACTGCCAAGGAAAAACACGAGGAAAACACAATCGAGTTGGATAAGTGATATTATGATACATTCTCAAGCAAGCGAACTTTTGCAAATCTCCTCTTATCAGTGAATGACAGCTCCAACCCATCATCTAGCTGCATAAACAGTAAGGATTATTGAGAATCAAATCAAGTGGCTCTAAATGCACTATTAAAGTGATTGTTCTGTATTTGATAAATCTTGCTTAAAAAACGTGGCAAATAATTAGCATTAGTGTTGTTATATCTCTAGGCAATGGTGTTATGCTACTGTACCATTTGTAAAACTGATTATGCAATTTTTATTTTTATTTTTTTGGAACTAGAGCAGATATATAAATATAATTGAGATGACTTTTGACTTTCACCCTAAGAAGCACCAACACTCCAAGGTGGGTGTCATGTCCGTATCCAACACAGGGGGACACGCGTATCCATGTGTCCAACACGCCACAAGGCGAGTCAATTTTTATTATTATTATTTTGATGGACACATTGGGACACTTCATGGAACTTTTGTGTTTGAACATGCCTCCGGACATCTTTGTATATTGTTTTTAAAAATACTTTTTGAAAACTTATTTGGAGTCAAAAGTAAAATATATGAGAATAAAGAGGGAGAAAGTAAGAAAAATAAAAATAATAAAAATACACCCACTCATACATTGATGTCTCTCATATATATAATGTGTCCTAAATTTATATTTATATTCATATACATAGTAAATAAAAATATATAATTTTTTTTTGTTGTGTTCTCGCAATGTCCGTGTCCTCCATTTTTGAGAACTGTCGTGTCCTATGTTTGTGCTTCTTAGCTTTCTCCTTCAGTTTAACTTTTGACAAGAATAATTTTTGTCCCGGACAGTTTTCTAACGAGAACACTAACAAATGTTGAAAAAACTAGTATGTAAATGACAATTGAATTGAACATATAACATGAAGTGCAATATATTTCATTAATATTATTATTTGTAACTAGTATTAATAAATAAATAGGAAGGCACTTAAATTCTCTTTAATTGATGGACATAGTAGGAATTCTTACTTCGATAAATAACTTGGAATACTTGGAAGGCCACTCATCACTGTCATTTACAGCAGACCTGAAATCATCAATACATTAAATTACTTGAAACAATGACTCCAAACTGCTTTCCAAATAAATAAAAATAAGACTTTAAAGGAATTAAAAGAGTATAGCCACCTGAGGAATCTCTTTTCAGTAATAAAATCTTTATATTCATAAAAATAAAAAAGGGATATCAAAGTATACAACCTATACAAATGAGCCCAATACTTGAATAATAAATCCACCACATGTAAAATAATTTAAAAGAAACAATTATTGTCACGCGAACATCCCCAAGGTTGCTCTTTTCAATCATCCAAATAGTACCCAAAAAAGCTGCATTCATAAGCAAGCCCTCTGGCCTCCAAAACCAACTGTCTTCCTACTTTTAAACGAGTCTCACATAGAAAATAGGCACTGCCAAGAGATACCTCTCATCTCAACTCATTTGAGCATAACCTAGTCCGTTATAATGTAATCCAGTGACTCTAATTCCCAATATGTAACATCTACAAGACGTAAGTGGCCAAAATGCATAAACTTGGCGACCTGGCACAGAATTTTCCATCAATAACATTTGTATCCCTTGATATTGTAATTTGTAAGGAAGTTCAGAAAGTCCACCTAGCCATTTGACATGACCAAGTCAGTGAAACTTATATTTCTGCATTAAACACTAACACTATCATTTCAGATTGAGAAATTCTAATATAATTATTCAGAATGACAAATCCTCATCCGGACCTTCACAATAAATCCATAATACAGAGCAGACTCCTTATATAAAACCCTCATTAATCAAAATAGAAGAGTCACCTGATAGCATCAGGTATCCAATATTCCTCAAGTTTCATTTAAATGGAACATAATAAACTTTACCTCTTATATTTTGTAACTGCAACTCCCTTAATATATATAGCCCCAGCCATTCCTGAAAGACAGAAAATCAAGAGGGGAATAATGGTGAAAGAGGTATTTGGCTTTATTTAAAATGCAGATTTAAACCATACTAGGGCTGTGTTTGGTTTACCTTTGGAATCATGATTCCAAAGGCAAAATTTTCAAATCATTTTTTAAAATTCATAACCAAACACACAACTCAAAATTACTCATAACTTAATTCAAAAATTAATTTCAAAACTCAATTCAAAACTCTTTTGATGATGTAGTGTTAAAGATGGTTAGTGATGGAATTGTTAAATTATTTTTATAAAAAATCTAAAAAAAATAATTTTTATATTTAAAAAATATCTAAAACAAATATATTTAGACCCAATCTGCTCTTTTCAAAATTTAAAATTCAAAAATTCCTTTCAAAACTCATAACTAACAAATTTTCTCTTTTCAAAATTTAACTCACAATTTCACACTCAAATCATAAATCCAAAAGAGAATCACAATTCCAAAACTAAACCAAACGCTAGGTTTTTGTCTTTTTTTTCTCATACACAAAGTTCAAATCCATAATTCTTATTATCCGATGCACAAACACTATAAAAAGGGAACATGCATTAAACAGAAGAATGTCTGACTTGAGATGATCTTTTTCACCTTTCCATTTAAAACAACATAATGACACAAATTTCCAAACTTCATCATCTTTTCTTGTTCATGATATTTTGCTAGATACATCATAAGTCAGGAAAAGAAAAGCTTTTGTATATGTACACCAAGCCAATTAGACCCTACTAAAAATAATAATAAAAACAAAACAGAACAGAACTTTAGCCCATATTCCCCTTCAAAATTACCTCAGTAACCAATCAGAGTCACTAGCATCAAACCCTCAAAATCTGTTTGGTTATCCAGATTTCAATTTCAATTTTTTTTTTTTTTAATATTTTGGTCCAACTTTCTTATTTTTTTAGATGCATCTACAACTCAAAAAAGTAAAATATTTGTAACAAATCTTTAAAAAAAATCAATAAATACTACAAAATACAAAAATTCAGTGTTCTGATTATAAACTTAACGAAAAAAAGTATTTTAAACATTTTATGTAATGTTAAAATAGATTTTTTTTCCCACTGGTTTTACTTAATAGCTGATAATTTAGATTGAAAACAAATAAAATTAGTGTTTAAATTTACAAATAAAAAATTCAGGTTTATTTCGGTGTGAAGTTTTTTTTTTTTTGTAATTTCCCCCAAAAAAATTACTAATCATTTGAGCCCAAAACAGTTACTTACCTCTTATTTTTTCCTTTCCATTTTTGTTGAGAAAACTACAATACCACAAAAGCATAAAAAAAATAGTCTTATAGGGTTTAGAGTAATGAAAACCCTAAAATCAAGGCATAACTGTTGGTTTCTTTTGGTGCATTTTCTCAGCAACCCAAGAGAGACATAATATTAAAACCCAAAGAAAAGTTGTAGGGTTTATCAGAGCATGAAACGAATCGTACCGAACTGGAAAGAAGGAAAAGGAGGGGAATCGAGTTGGAGCCACATGTTCTTGCCCTTGCGATGAGCGGCGACGATAGTCTTGCCGAGGAGAGAGGATTCGAAATCAGAACGCGAGACTCCATCGATGACCTTGGAATCGTCAGCGATCAAGGATCGCTTGATCTTCTTGCCGATACAGTGGTCTTCGATGGCTCTTCGAGCTGCTTCTACCTCTGGAAGTTCTGGCATTGTCGTCAAGTTTGAGCTCTGAGACTGAAGAGAGAACAGGTTTTGTTTTGTTTTTGCATAGGGAGAATTAGGAGGGGAGAGAAAAAAATTACAAAAATATACCTGCTGCAAAAATTATAAAAATATGAGTGATTCCATGGTTGGGTGTGTGCAAGTCGCACCTTTCTTTGCTTTGTGTTTTAAAATATGTATTTAGAAGATAATTTTTAAAAATATGTTTCGTTATAAATTCTTTTTAAAAAATTTAAAATTACTTTTCTTTTTTTTACACCTTAATTAATTACTTTTTTTTCTCTCATCTCTCATTCTTAATTACTTTAGATTGATAGGTGTTGTTGGGCCTATGAGGACCTACCACGAGTCTCGTTTCAATAATCTAAATTGTTCAATATGTAGAGCTCGTCGAGTACTATATGCTTGTAAAAAATCACGTTAATTAGAAATTGATAGCTATCTCATCGGATCAATTTTCTGTCAACCATTTATTTTTTTACTGTTCATTCTTTTATGCAAAACTGATTTGATCACGTAGTTATCGATATCCGATCGACGTGATTTTTTTTAAATATATAGTATTCAACTAGTTCTACATATTAAGCGGTTCGAATTATCGAAACGAGACCCGTGGTAAGCCCCACGGACTCAATAGCACCCCCCAATCCGATTTGAGACTAAAAGAAAGCCAGTGTCTTTCTCTCACATACATTTATTCAATTATAACAAAATATCAAATCATCTCAAACTACAAAACTATTTTCAAAATATATAACCAAACAAACCAAAAACAATTCTAAACTCTCCCCCCCAAAAAAAATTTGAAATTTTATCTCAAAACACAAACAAAATACTCCCATTTAATGTTTGTGTAAATTTTCTTCTTTCTGTGCAACTATTATTGTGTTTGGTTAAGGAATTTAGAAAATGATTTGAAAAGGGAAATAAAAAAATATAAATCAAATCAAATCAAATTTTACCTAATTTTTCACATCTTTTTTTTTCATTTTCTAAATCACTTCATAAATTCCTCAATCAAATACAATATTAAATAATTTTTCTTTTGCAAACGTTGGGAAAATGGGGGGATGATTATTTTTTTAATTAAAATATGAGGTGAAAAAGAAAATTAAAATAAAAAAATAAATTATTTTGATTTTCTTGACAAAATAAATTTTGAGATATTAATTTTTTTAAATTTTTTTAATCTAAATTATTTGTTTAGTTTCATTAAATAAAATTAATGAAAAAAATATATTTTAGTCAATTTTCTATTTTTACATATTATTTTCACTTTGCACACATCTTCATCAATTTATACACTTAAAAAAATAATCAATATGCTCCACATACTTCCATTAAAGAAGATTGAACCATCATTTTCAAATGTAGAAATTGGTTGATATTATACTACTTGCGCACTAGATTTTTTTTTTTTTTTTAATTGCTACTTGTATACTGTAATTTTTTTTTTTTCAATCTAATATACAAGTAGCAGATCAAAAAAAAATCTAATATGCAAGTAATACAGTATCTACCGAATCAAAAATAAAAAATAAAAAAATTACAATATCTAAGTATATTGGCCATGAGTATGATATTTTACTTCGCCAAATTGTGAAGGTCAATATGTGGTGGTGAAAAAGTTTTAATCAAAATCTTTTTATTAAATTGCTCCCTTACCTAAAAATAAAAAATAAAAATTGCCAAATCTATGTACACACATCTAAACTTAGGTTTGTTTTGGGAGTAGGAAAAAAACTAACTTACTGATTTATTGGTTTATTTAAATCACATACCTCTCTACTTTTTTGCATTTTTTTAAAAAAAAAAGTCTCGATTCAGACCTCTAATTTAGAGGCTCTAAAAGAAGCTCTAAACATGTGGCACCCAACCAGGGATGATAAAGGATAGCTGCACATACAGTGCGTGTGTTTCACGCACTGTGTTAAAAAAAATAAAAAATAAAATATTGAAATCCCGCGCGAATGTAAAACAACAGTAAAACAGAGGTATTGCAACTCTATTCTAGATCTATCTCTCATCCGTCGTCTCTCGCCTCCACCGTCCAGCATTCAATGTCTCCATTTCCGTCTCTGTCTTTTTCTCCCTCTAAGGCATCCCTCTCTCGCTCTGAAAGCATTTGCAGATCTGTCCGCTACCTCTCCTCCACCATTCAACGTCTTCTTCGTCGTCCATCGTCCGGCGTCTTCTCCGTCTCCAATCTTCGTCCCTCTGTCGCTCTGAAAGCATTACCAGGTCAATGATGGTCTACTCTAAACATGTAATCGATTAGTGATGCTATCCTCTATATACATTTATATATGTCATTTTTTTAATCAGTGATACTGGATTGATATGTATATATATATATATATATATTTGGCTCTGATTTGAGTATAAGCTGGAATTTTAACTCTGGTTTGGCTCTCAAAATATATATATATATACACATAAACCAGAATTGGAGCATAAACCGAAAATTTGAGCATAAATTGGAACTTGGCTCTCAAAATATATATATACATAAACTGGAATGATGAATTGATAAATTTATAAATGTGGAAGTGCTTGTTCCTACTTTGTATATATATTTGGCAGTGCTTGGCTCCAGGTCAATGATGAACTTATAAACATTTATATATATATATATATATTGAGAATGATGAATCGATAAATTTATAGTTAATCATTTTTAATCGATGATGAATTGATTTTGATGAATTGATAAATTTATAGTTAATCATATTAATGAATATTTTGATATATTTGACTGTAATTGAATTTAAGTCTTTTGATTTCAGTTTAAAATTTGAATGAGCAGAAATGGAGATTGAATCAAATAGTGGTGAGAATCATTTATTAAATGATAGTGAAGAAATTGAGGAACCTAAAAAGGGTATGTATTTTAGCTCAAAGCAAGAAGTGTACACATTTTATGCCAAATATGCTAAACATGTTGGATTTTCTATAACTTATAAAACACAAGTTTTTGGCGATGATGGGGAATTAAGATACTTTGGGATTGAATGTTCTAGATCGAGGAAGAGAATCAAAAAATTAGAAGTAAACCCTCTAAAGCCATCTCTTTCCACAAAAATTGATTGTAAAGCAAGGGTATGTGAGCGAGCCTACAAAAGGATGAGAGATTTATGTTAACCACAGTTAACCTTTACCATATTCATGACTTGATTCCCACCGACTCACGTTATTTTGCAATGAATAAGAAAATTCTTACTCCTGCGAAGAGAATATTAGAAATTAATGATCAAACAGGGATTGGGGTGTCTAGGAATTATCACTCAATGGTTGTTGAAGCTGGGGGTTATGAGTCATTAACATTTGATGAGCGAGATGCGCAAAATTACATTGACAGAGCTAGAAAATTGAAGCTTGGAGAAGGAGATTCCGATGCACTTCAAAAATATTTTTTGAGGATGCATGCTCAAAATTCGAGTTTCTATTATATGATTGATGTTAATACTGACTTTCGCATAAGAAACTTGTTTTAGGAGGATGCAATGAGTCGGACGGCTTATAAAGAATTTGGAGATGTGGTTTCATTTGACACAACTTACCTTACTAACAAATATGATATGCCATTTGCTCCGTTTGTAGGAGCTAACCACCATGGACAGTCGATTTTGTTTGATTGTGGGTTGTTATCTAGTGAAGACACTGATACATTTGTTTGGCTATTCAAATCATGGTTAAATTGCATGTCAGATCATCTCCCAAAAGGTATAATAACTGATCAGTGCAAAGTTATGCAAAATGCTATAGAAATTGTCTTCCCAAATACTCAACATCGATGGTGTTTATGGCATATAATGAAGAAAATTCTACAGAAATTAAAAGGGTATTCCCAATATGAATCCATGAAGATGGATTTGCAAAATGTAGTGTATGACACTTTCACAAAAGATAAATTTGAGATGAAATGGAAAGAGATGATTGCAAAATTCAATCTTTATAAGAATTAGTGGTTGGGGGTGTTATATGATGAGCGACATCGATAGGTTCCTGTCTATGTCAAAGATATTTTTTGGGCTGTCATGTCAACGACACAACGAAGTGAGAGCATGAATGCCTTTTTTGATGGATATGTCAACCCAAAGACTACATTAAAACAATTTGTTGAACAATATGACAATGCCTTGAGAAGTAAGGTAGAGAAAGAGGAGAAAGTTGACTTCAAGTCTCGACATAAAGTGTTTGGTTGCCTAACTGTGTATGGTTTTGAGAAGCAATTTCAGGATGCTTACAACAATGCAAAATTTAAAGAAGTTCAAGCAGAGATGAAGAGACTAGTTTGTTATCAGCCGTTTCTTGTGAAAGAAAAGGGTTTAATTTGTACATATTTTGTGAAAGAAGCCGTGATAAAGCATGTGGACTTTGTTGTCTATTATAATTCGACAGAATTTGATATGCAATGTATGTGTTGGTTGTTTGAATTTAGAGGTATCATGTGTGCTCACTCGCTCGTTGTGCTCATTGCAAGATGTATAAATGAGGTTCCAAATAAATACATTCTACCACGATAGAGAAAATATTTTGATAGAGGGTACACGTGCATAAAAACCACATACACTGGCTTTGGGAATGATTTTAATGCAAAGGTCTATGATAAGATGAACATAAAATTGATTGGCATTGTACAATTTACTGGGAACTCTGAAGGGAAAATAAAAATTATTGACCATGGGTTAGACAAAATCAAGGCAAGAGTGATGGAAGATGATGAAGGTGGTAGGAGTAATGTAGCACCTTCGACTAGTAATGCATCACCTATTACTAGTAATGTACCATCTTTTCCGATTGGCAACATTAATAGAAAGGCAATCAGTCATACCAAGTTGCTTAATCCTTTGGTTGCTCGCCGAAAAGATCATCCAGTTACTAAAAGAAAGGTCTCCAAAGTAGATCAAATAATCAATTGGTTGAAGGCACGCAACAGAAAACATAACAAATCAAAGGTAAATTGATTGGTATTCATACATATCCATCCGTTTTGTATCATTACTCTCTATTCAACTCATATTTTATTGTAATCATGTCATACATTTGAGGCATTCATTAACCTTGATCAATATAGGGTACTAAGGTACTTGGAGGTGAAGGTGAAGGTCAATGTCAATCTCAACCTGAACGT